AAAAATGAGCCAGGTGTGGTGGCGCACACCTGTAATCCCAGGTACTCGGGAGGCTGAGGTAGGAGAATTGCTTGACCCCAGGAGGCAGAGGTTGCAGTGAGCCAAGATCTGCCCACTGCACTCCAGCCTGGGAAACAGAGCGAGACTCCATCTCAAAAAAAGAAAAAAAAAGAACACACTCATATTCCCATGTTCATACTTAAATTTAACTTTTGAAACAAATTTCTTATCAGTTTTTCTCAATATACTAAAGTATTAGCTTTTCTCACTATATCTAAGTGTATATGCCCTTCCTAATACAGTAACATGTTTAGATGGGTGTTTAATAAATACGTTGATGATAAAAGAAAAAATTATATTTCGTGTATTCCAAGGACCTAAAACTACCATTTCCAAAAACATAATAAACCACAGTCTGAATTCTACACAGAAAAAGGACACATGCTTCTCAGCTTTCAGGTATGACATTTTACCTTTTGTAAATAAATCCTACCCACTCCTAGGAGAGCCATGAGCCACACGAAGGATGACAGTCTGATCACAGATGAGAATCTGAAGTCTAGGTATATAGTGTTCACCAGAAAGCCAGTGCCAGGTTCCTTGGGATCTTAGACACGGTATCAGAATCTTAAACTAACAGTCCAGAAAATCCTCAGTCTTCTTCTATGAGATATTTCCACCATTCATGGTGTACCCCGCATAGATGTTTGTTCCTGTACTCCTATGATACTCTTCAGTATTGGGGGAACACAGCACTGTTGGACCTCTAGGAGAGACTACAGGTTTCCAAGTCATTACCTACGTTTAAATGCTGCTCCCCTCAGACAAGTACGTAATTCTTTAAGGGTTTATTTAAGGGATTCTTTACGATTACTCTTAAGATGCAGATTAATAACTACCTCTCTGGGTTGTTGATAACATTATCAATAAAGTATGTAAAACACCTCAAACAGTAGTGATCTATCTTCTGAAACAGTGATCTATTTTAAAGTGATTATCAGGAGTCTGACAGAGGTATAAAAAGTTTTTATTATCAGCATTGTACAGTATTCATAGATTTTATGAAGCATTCTCCAAAATATATCCTCCAAGGAGAAGTCTGGTTTATAGAATACCATATGCCTGGGAAAGAAAGACCCAAATCTCTAGTTTTGTTTTGTTTTTTGAGACGGAATGTCGCTCTACACCCACGCTGGACTGCAGTGGTGTGATCTCAGCTTACTGCAACCTTCGCCTCCCAGGTTCAAGCAATTCTCCTGCCTCAGTCTCCCAAGTAGCTGGGACTACAGGCACGCAGTACCACACCCAGCTAATTTTTGTATTTTCTTTAGTAGAGACAGGGTTTCACCATATTGGTCAGGCTGGTCTTGAACTCCTGACCTCAGGTGATTTCACCCACCTCAGCCTCCCAAAGTGCTGGGATTACAGGCATGAGCCAGTGCTCCTGGCCCCAATCTCCAGTTTTTACTACCCTTCTTTTCTCTCTTCTTCTTCCCTTTCTACATTAAGAAGCCCCTTCCTTAAATCCTAAGGTCCTTTTGTAGGCAATCTTCGCAACTGATGAGTTTAATGCTGTTTTTTACTCTATATAAAGTTGTTAACCTTTGCTGAGACTTCTGTTTCTTCATAGAGTCTTCCTTTTTTTTTCCCCCATCCAGATGGCTCTTTTTATTAATTGGCTTATAATAGGAGCAGGTCAGTTTGCCGGAGATAGGAAAATGTTGAAAAACACAGCAAATAAGACACAAGCTAAATAAGCAGCGATTGCTATCCAAAACCTTGGATCTTTCAGCAGTGCTTTATCAAAGCAGCTAAACACCGTGTAGCCGATGGACATTCCAGCAAATCCACCTGCAACGTGAGCTGCAAAAGACACCTTGGGAGAAAAGGAGAAAATGGAAATAAGTAAAGACAATGCTAATTGTGTATTTCAGTTGCATCTCTCTTATTCAAACACAAATACCATCACAGTCAAACAAGAGTCTTAAAAGTCTAGAGAACTAGGGGTAAGACAAAAGAGACACAAAACTCCATGTGCACAGAGAGAAGGAGATACTCTGAAACATACAAAGCTAAGAAATGTCATTTTCACCCATTCTTAGAGTACAAAAGACAAGAGAAATTGTTTCTCGTTCTTGATCATCATTGCATTTAAAATAATTCTATATGATGCCAACTAAGAGAATGGTTGAGTTGCCATGAGGGATCTCTATAGCAGCATAATCTGATTGCACATACATGGGGTGTCACATTTAAAACACAAGTAATAACGTACACAACAAATACCCAAACAGAAACTACCAAATTCAAAGATAAATCCCAGCAAAACTGGAAATTTTTGTCAATTTTCTGTATTGTCAGTTTATAGAACTCAAATTTTCATTGCTGTTTTCCAATCTGCTTTTTCGTTTTGTTTTGTTTTTTGAAATGGGGTCTCAACTCTGTCACCCAGGCTGGAGTGCAGTGGCATGATCACAGCTCACTGCAGACTCAACCTCTGAGACTCAAGCAATCCTCCCATCTCAGCTTCCCAAGTAGCTGGGACTACAGGCACATGCCACCATGCCTGGCTAAACCAATCTGCTTTTTATTCTATGTGGACAGGAAAATCCATTCTCTCCTGTTTACTGGGTTTTTTTGTTGTTGTTGTTCTGTTTTGTTGAGATGGAGTCTCACTCTGTCGCCCAGGCTGGAATGCAGTGACGCGATCTCGGTTCACTGCAACCTCCGCCTCCCGGATTCAAGCGATTCTCCTACCTCAGCCTCCCGAGTAGCTGAGATTACAGGTGCCTGCCACCAAGCCCGGATAGTTTTTGTATTTGTAGTAGAGACAGGGTTTCACCATATTGGCCAGGCTGGCCTCGAACTCCTGACCTTGTGATCCACCAGTCTCAGCCTCCCAAAGTGCTGGAATTACAGGCGTGAGCCACCGCGCCCAGCCATTCTCTCCTGTTTTGGAATAGCTACCAATATGGCAGGTGCAGTGAAGTAAAGCCAGTGATTAGGGCTATGAGAGAGTTAAGTAGGAAGGACAATTCAAAAGTCTGATTTCCTTAAAAATGTTCTTAACTTCCAAATGGAAATTTGGCTGCCCTAAATCACAGCGTTGTAACCTCTATTTGATAACCCTTTTTGACAGTAAACAAATTTCCATTTTATAAAAGAAAGAAACTGAACTCACCGGAGACCCATCTTCAGGAACAAAGAACCTTCTGTAGAGAGCAAATCCCATGTCTAACACAACTAGAAGGAAAAACACCCTGATAAAGGCTCAGAATCTCCACAATAGTACACCAAATGTTTTTGGTTCCCCTCTAATAATAATAATACTAGCTATCATTTATTGAGACTTAACTCTGTGACAGGTGCTTTTCTACGAGATTTTTTAACTCATTAATCTTCATCACAACCCTATGAAGTAGGAACTATCATTATCCCATTTTACAGATTTATTCATCCAACAAGCATTCATTGTCCTCTATGTGTCAGGCATCATTCTAGCTGGTAGATGGGCAGCAGTGGGCAGATCTAACAGACCTGCCTCATGTAACTGACAAACTGTTGGCGGGTGTGGCGGGGAGTGATTGGCAGGGAGGCAAACAAATAAGTAAAACATACAGTATGTCAAATAGTGCTAAGAGCTATGGAGAAAATACAAAGAGAGGAACAAGAACTAGGAATACCAGATGTCAAGTGTGATTTCCAATAGGGGTATCAAGGAGGATCTCTCTGAGAATATGACGCTGGACAGAGGTAAGGGTCCAAGTCATGCTGCTATTTGACACAAGAATGTTTCAGAGAGAGGGAAGACCAAGTACAAAGTCCCTAAGCAGGAATATGCCTGGTGTGTTTGAAAAATACCAAAGCAGTTGAGCTGGCTGGATCAGTGGTTTTCAAAGTGGTTTTTACCAAGACCAGCAGTATCAGCTTCACCTGGAAACTTACTAGAAATGAAAACTCTTAAACCCACCCCAGACCTACTGAACCAGAAACCTTGAGGGTGGGACTTAGCTTTCTGTTTTGTTTTTAGAAGGTAAGTTGTACACTCCTTAGCAGATTCCAACTTCCATGGCTGTGTTTTCCAACTACCAACTGTGGTCAAGTTATTGTTTCCAACAATTTTGTTTTAACGAGACCTCCAGGTGATTCTGGACTAGAGTTAGGGATAAGGTTGTGGGTGATGACATCAAACAGGTAGCAGGGGACAGATTATGTAGGGTCTATATGGGCCATTGTAAAGACTCTTAACTTTTACTGAGTGATAGGAAGTCTTTGAAAGCTCTTGAGCACAGGAGTGGCATGGTACATTTTGTTTGTTTGTTTGTGACAGAGTCTCAACTCTGTTGCCCAGGCTGGAGTGCAGTAGTAAAATCTTGGCTCACTGCAACCTCCACCTCCCAGGTTCAAGCAATTTTCATGCCTCAGCCTCCTGATTAGCTGGGATTATAGACATGTGCCACCACACCTGGCTAATCTTTGTATATGTAGTAGAGACGGGGTTTCACCATGTTGGTCAGGTTGGTCTTGAGCTCTTGAACTCCTGACCTCAGCTGCTCCACCTGCCTGAGCCCCACAAAGTGCTGGGATTACAGGCGCCTGCCACCATGCCCAGTTAATTTTTGTATTTTTAGTAGAGACAAGGTTTCACCGTGTTGACCAGGGTGGTCTCCAACTCTTGAACTTCTGACCTCAGGTGATCCACCCACCTCGGCCTCCCAAAGTGCCGGGATTACAGGCTTAAGTGACTACACTGGTGGTTTTACAAAGATTATTCTAGCTGCCATATAGGAAGCAGACTATAAGGCAGCAAGAACAGGAACTGGAAGACCAGCTGGAAAAATACTATTGTAGCAATCAAAGTGAAGAAGGATGGTGGCATTTTATACATAAAGAAACCAAGACACCAAGGCTCCACTCTCAGTCATCATGGTAATTGCCTGTAATTACCATCGGGAGTTCTGAAGGTGTCAGGCCATGAAAGCAAATGATTCCATATTCTCCAATAAAACTGTGAGAGCCAGAAGTTAGGCAGTCTTCCAGTAAGTCAGATCTGTGCTGCAAAAGGAGCTTCCGATTTCTTGGCCTAGAAGAACTCTGCCCTATATGTGTAGTGCTAGGAAACATCTCTTGCAGCTATTGCATTCCACACCCACCCCCTAATTCCCTGTGCTCTACTTAGTGAGCCACTGTGTCCTAGGAGATGAAAAGACCTAGTCCTTGCCTTTGGGAAAATAGCATCAGAACATGTGTTCTGACTAGATTCCCTTTCAATACTGTATTGATTGATGTTGAAGTCACTGGACAGAAATTGAGGTCGAGGAAGTATTCAATATTCATTTAATTGTAAATGACTATTACAAAGTGCTAGATTAATGAGGCTGTATCATATTGTCTTTTTGTTTTGTTTTGTTTTGTTTTGAGACACAGTCTCACTGTCACCCAGGCTGGAGTGCAGTGGTGCATTCTCAGCTCACTGCAACCTCCGCCTCCTGAGTTTAAGTGATCCTCCTGCCTCAGCCTCTGGAGCAGCTGGAACTACAGGCCATGTCACCACGCCTGGCTAATTTTTGTATTTTTAGTAGAGACAGGGTTTCACCATGAGACCAGGATGGTCTCAATCTCCTGACCTCATGATCCACCCACCTCAGCTTCCCAAAGTGCTGGGATTATAGGAATGAGCTACTGTGCCTAGCCCATATTTTCAATCATCATTTGCATTTCCTGGTCCACATAATAACATGCCCATGGGTCTAGGAAAGTATTTTTAAAAACACTGCCACATAACTGGAAACAGTTACTTTGGTTTAGTCTTCTAGGATAGGAGACCTCCTCTCAGAAAGTGTTTGTAACCATTAGTATGTCAATTTCTCCAACCAGTTTCTCTCCATCTTGCCCCTTCCTATATCTGAGTCTGGCTCTTTCCTCTTTCTGCTTCCTAGGGGACTTTTCTTCTGGGTTGTTGCTGCCTCTAAACTGAGACATGTCTTCCAACCTGAAAATAAGCCCTTACTCCAAGAAGCCAAACCATTGTCCTCATTAAAAATTTGACATTTACTTTAAAAGAGTTGCCTTCATATGAAGTCTGCTGCCCAGACTAGAGTACAGGCCAGGCGCGGTGGCTCAAGCCTATAATCCCAGCGCTTTGGGAGGCCAAGACGGGCAGATCACAAGGTCAGGAGATCGAGACCATCCTGGCTAACACGGTGAAACCCCGTCTCTACTAAAAAATACAAAAAACTAGCCGGGCGAGGTGGCGGGGGCCTGTAGTTCCAGCTACTCGGGAGGCTGAGGCAGGAGAATGGCATGAACCCGGGAGGCGGAGCTTGCAGTGAGCTGAGATCCGGCCACTGCACTCCAGCCTGGGCGACAAAACAAACAAACAAACAGACTAGAGTACAGTGGCATGATCACGGCTCACTGCAGCCTCGACCTCCCAGGCTCAGGCGAATTCTCCCACCTCAGCCTCCTGAGAAGCTGGAACCACAGGCCCACACCGCAACACCCGACCAATTTTTTTGTAGAGACAGTTTCCCTATGTTGCACAGACTGGTCTTGAACATAGTGCTTGATGAAGGAATGTTTTTTGGCCAACTGCCATTCACAATTAAGAATATTTATAACTTGGCTGGGCACGGTGACTCACAGCTATAATCCCATAACTTTGGGAGGCTGAGGCGAGTAGATCACCTGAGGTCAGGAGTTCGAGACCAGCCTGACCAATATGGTGAAACCCCATCTCTAGTAAAAATACAAAAATAAGCCGGGCGTGGTGGCATGCACCTGTAGACAGAAGAGGCTGAGACAGGAGAATTGCTTGAACCGGGAGGCGGAGGTTGCAGTGAGCCAAGATCACGCCACTACACTCCAGCCTGGGCAACAGAGCGAGACTCCGTCTCAAAAAAAAAAAAGAATATTTACAACTTAAAACAAAATTGTATACATTTCCAAAGAAACATGTTTCAAATACAAATGCATTTATATTTTATTAATCTGGTATATGTTGTAACTCTTCCCATTTTCAATAGTAGGTAAACCAGGCCAAAGAACTTTTGGAAATGAAGCAGACTGACTGAAGACCCCGTATCTTGAGTGACAACCTTTCTGTGCCCAAACAATGTGTCCTCTGATTCTGGGTGTGACCCTGAACAACTGAGGAGGCAGCTCAGCTCCTGCAGCGGCTCTGCTGTCTCCCAGATACTCACTCTCCCTTCTCTTAGGTTTTGAATTTGTTATGAAGAAAAAAATTAAGAATAGTATAAACTACAAACAAGTGATTTATTTTATCTCAGAGTGAAATATTAATGTTCTTACAATTAAATCATCAATAAACTAAAGAGTCCCTTCCCACAGACATAGTTGCCTCTGTTCCTGTAATGGGGATAATTGAACCCTTGATAGAAATTGCAAAATCCTGTTTTCTTACTATGTGGACAGCCAACATCTTAGGCTTTATCAGGTGTAACCTCTGCCTTGGCTTTCAGGTCTGACCCCAGGGTCTGTCATTCTTCCACAGCCCTCCAGGTAGAGAAAACTTCAACTGGAGCAGGTCCGTCAACACCAGTTACCACCCCCACCTTTGATCTTGTTTTCTTCCATGCTCTATGGCCTGCTGTCATCTGGAATCTACCTTTACTCTCAGAGTCAGCTGCACTTCCATTGCCTCTCCAGACAGCATTCTTCCTAACCTCCTTTAGCATGTGATTCTAGAATTCTTGGAGATGTCAAAAGCCACATTAGTCACCCTCTTGGTCTGGGCTTCTTGAACAGTTGCCCGCCACCCCCGCCCGGCCCAGCTCTCTATCATTAATCCTCAACTATCAGCTATCACTCAATACTTATATTCTGGATCAGGTTTTTTTTTTTAATCTGAAAATTTAGAAATTGAGGAAGAAAAGAGATTATATCAGTGGTTTCCAAGTTTTCCCTTTGCAGACAAAATCACATACAGCTTCCAATATATGAAAAAGTCCAGTATATAAAACATAAGTGAAGCTATTGTGGTTCAAGTAGAGGGGGTGCCTAGGTCTCTATTCTCTTGGCTTCCCCCACTCCATAAAGATACAAAAAGCAAAAATACATCATGTAGGCATGTCTAAGAACCACCCACGAGAGCCTGTAAAACTCCTTTGTTTAATTCTTTCTGCTTAGTGCTGTGAAGTGGACAATTTTTTTCTAACTGTAGGTTTGCAGTTATTCTCCATGTTAGTGTTTGGGAAATGTGGAAAGGCCTTCTGAAGGCTAAACCAATAACATTGTGAAAATATTGTGTGAGTTGATTATGCAAAATAGGTCATTCTTGTCAAACCCAACTAAATCAGAGTTGAGGGGCTAGGGGACAAAAGCACTCAGAGCACACGGCACTGCTCCAACAATTGAATTCTGCACAAGCCCAGCTGCTGAAACTACCTGCTCTAACCATAAGACTAGTTTTACCTAATAGCTGCTGAAACAAATTGAGTCTAAGAATCAGGTCTAAACAACACAAGTCTAAGACTAGTTCTCCCCGCTATCATCACTCACCAACCAACTCCCAAAGGCTGCTGGAGTGCCAATGAGCTTTCTTTCAATATAATATGTAAAATTTATCTTTCTAATAAACCCTCCAGCCTTTTCTTTTGTACTTCTGACATACCATAGACCTCCCAGGTCTGTGTGCATGCCCCAAATTGCAATTCTGTGATTCCCAAATAAAATGTTTAGAGATTTGTCTCTATATTTTAGTTTCACTTCGACAGTATGAAGTGTTCACAAAACACACTTACTTATCAGGATGATGACCAGCAGTCTGAAAATTCCAAAGGCAGGAATCATTTCTCGAAAATTCTTGCAAAGAGATAAATAATAATTATATAAGCTATCTATGGACAAATGAAACCTCAACTCTATTCCCTCTTCATCTGCTCTTCATTTGAAATAATCTTCCAGTGTCAAATACTTGCAAATCAAAGCATGAGTGTCACGGCCAAGTTTTTAAATGTATTTAGGAAGTACAATGCACTTTGGGGAATAAAATGACAAGATATTTAATTTAATGATATAAATGACACAATTTTGCTAGCCAGAAATAATCTCAATAAAAGTAATATAAAATCAACACTTGTCAATAAATAAATAGATAAATAAATGCTGTTAAACTAAGATTGATGAAATATTCCTAAGATTTTTCATTAATATTCATTTGATATTTCTTCATCCTCTTTCCCAGTAGTATTTAGCAAAGACTTAACTGAGATTTGAGTATTACCTTAATTTTTTGAGGTAATTTCAAAAACATTGAAAATATTCATCAAAAATTATTGCAGGGATTTTTGTGGGGGGGCTCTTGCAGCGGGGGGGTTCTGTGAGGGGAGGTAGAAGACAGGGAGGGTCTCACTCTGTCACCCAGGTTGGAGTGCAGCAGTGCAATCTATAGCTCACTGCAGCCTCAAACTCCTAGACTCAAGCCTTCCTCCTGTCTGACTCCTGAGTAGCTGGGACTACAGGTGCACGGCAGCACACCTGGCTCACTGTGGGATTTCAGCTTTGGGTCCCTTGCATGTCACTGGCGAACTGCTGAGTGAGACATTTCTAATATAATTTATTGAATTACTTGTCCCTTCCCTTTCAAATTAGTAACTCTCTTCCCAAGGAGTAAAGATGCTGAAATAGGCACGTTTATTCTAAATCAATTATTTTCAAACTCTTGTGACCACGAACTACAGTAAGAAGTACTTTACCTAACAACCCAGTACACACATAAATCAAACAATAACACTGACTTTTTTTTTCTTGGGCTTAACTTTTGGCCACAATTCCTTAAAGTGAGTCTACAACCACTAATGGGTTGCAATCTAAAGTTCAAAAAACCACTTTACTTAGTGATTTCTATATTTGGAACAGTTTTATAATTGCTTTACACTTTTCTACGTATAATTTTTTTTTTAATTTTTTTTTGAGATGGAATCTCACTCTGTCGTCCAGGCTGCAGTGCAGTGGCACAATCTTGGCTCACTGCAACCTCCACTTCCCAGGTTCAAGCAATTCTCCTGCCTCAGCCTCCAGAGTAGCTGGGACTACAGGCGCGTGCCAGCACACCCAGCTAATTTTTGTATTTTTAGTAGAGATGGGGTTTCACCATGTTGACCAGGATGGTCTCGATCTCTTGACCTTGTGATCCGCCCACCTCAGCCTCCCAAAGTGCTGGGATTACAGGCATGAGCCACCATGCCCGG